AGAGAGCGTGTGGCGTTCGGATCCGAGCGAGCCAAATCGAACACGGTTTGTGTCCTTTTTAAGGACATATGCTGCGGCAATAAAAGCCGCAAAGAAGACTTTCTTTGTGGCTACTATTGCGTCTGCAAAGAACCGTCCGGCTGAACTGTTCCGAGTTGTCAGAGGCCTGTTGAAACCCACCACTCAGGATGGGAGCCCTGGTGACTCGGCAGCTCGCTGTGAAGCCTTTGCTCAGTTCTTTGCCGACAAAGTCGCTTTGATCCGCTCTGGTCTGGATACCATATTAACGGCAGTCTCTGAGGATGTAGCATGAGCATCTGCTTGTCCGGTTTTGATGGATTCATTTCAATTGGTGAAACCCGAGGATGTGGACAAGGTGCTTGGAGGAATGAGGGCAACCACATGCATCCTAGACCCCTGCCCATCCTGGCTTCTAAAGGAGGCCAGAGGGGGATTGGCTGAGTGGGTGAAGGTGGTGGTTAATGCCTCCCTTCGGGAAGGCAAAATTCCAGCCAGCTTAAAACAAGCTGTGATAAAACCGCTGTTGAAAAAACCATCACTGGACCCCCACTCAATTTGTGAACTATCGGCCTGTTTCCAATCTCCCCTTTTTGGGCAAAGTCATGGAACATGTGGTGGCCTCACAACTCCAGGCATTCTTGGTAGACACGGATTATCTGGATCCGGCACAGTCTGGCTTTAGGCCGGGGCATGGTACCGAGACAGCCTTGGTCGCCTTAGTGGATGATCTGCGCCGGGAGCTCGACAGGGGGAGTGTGTCCCTGTTGGTGCTGCTGGACCTCTCAGTGGCCTTCGATACCGTCGACCACGGTATCCTTCTGGGATGCCTCGCGGGGATGGGTCTTGGAGGTACTGTTTTGCAGTGGCTCCGGTCATTCCTGGAGGGCCGGTCTCGGAAGGTGTTACTGGGAGACACCTGTTCAACCCCACAACCTTTGTCTTGTGGGGTTCCTTAGGGCTCAATATTGTCTCCCATGTTGTTTAACATCTACATGAAGCCGCTGGGGGAGATCATCCGGAGTTGCGGAGTGCGATGTCATCTGTACGCGGATGATGTCCAACTCTGTCACTCCTTTCCACCTGCTACTAAGGAGGCTGTCCAGGTTCTGAACCGGTGCTTGGCCGCTGTGACGGTCTGGATGAGGGCGAACAAATTGAAACTGAATCCGGACAAGACAGAGGTACTCCTGGTCAGTCGAAAGGCCGAACAGGGTATAGGGTTACAGCCTGTGTTGGATGGGGTCGCACTCCCCCTGAAGACGCAGGTTCGCAGCCTGGGTGTGATCCTGGACGCATCGCTGAGCCTGGAACCCCAGGTCTCGGCGGTGACCAGGGGAGCATTTGCACAGCTTAGGCTCGTGCGCCAGCTGCGCCCGTTCCTTGGGAAGTCTGACTTGGCCACGGTAGTCCACGCTCTTGTTACATCCTGCCTAGACTACTGCAACGCTCTCTACGTGGGGTTGCCTTTGAAGACGGCTCAGAAGCTCCAGCTAGTCCAACGCGAGCACGCTGGCGAGCATACCAACCCTACTCTGCCATGCACCAGCTACTCACACGTAGGCCTGCACCTGATTGTCTTGCCCTGACAGGCGCCCCAATTCAAAGTGCTGGCGCTGGCCTTTAAAGCCCTAAACGGTTCTGGCCCAACTTACCTATCCGAACGTATCTCGGCCTATCAGCCCACCAGGACCCTAAGATCTTCTGGGGAGGCCCTGCTCTCTATCCCGCCTGCTTCACAGGTGCGGCTGGCGGGGACGAGAGACAGGGCCTTTTCTGTGGTGGCCCCTCGGCTATGGAACGCCCTTCCCACGGAGGTAAGATCAGCCCCCTCATTGATGGTATCCTGAAGAAGATTGAAGACCTGGATGCTCAAGCAGGCATTTGGTTAACTCAGTGCAACGAATGGTAATTGACTAAAGGACTGGCAATATGGACGACGAACTGGATCACGTTTTTAGTTAAGAGTTGAACTGGATTGGTATTGATGTATGAATTGTGTTTTATGTCTTTTATGCTTTTAACTGTATACTGTTGATTGTTATATTATGTTGTAAACCGCGTTGAGTCGCCGGTTAGGCTGAGAAACGGCGGTATACAAATATAGCAAATAAATAAATAAAATAAATTCTAGCTCTGGACCTAATGTCTTCTTCAATGTGTACCACTGAATATAGGAATATAGTAAGGAATATAGTAAGTAACTAAGAATACAGGAATATAGTAAGTAACTATGCTGTTATGATCTGATAATAACTCAGTGCAAACCTCACAAAAACACTTACTTTAATACTTTGGAAATCATTTGTCTAAGAACAATTTCTGTAATAAACAGATGTCATCAATATTATCCGAAAGCAAAGCAAAAACCAAAAAGGGCCACAGGAGGAATATGCTTACCTCTAAAACATCTGTAATAGCAATTTCCATAGATTCTGTTCCTCCATAATATAAATACTGCATCAGCATCTTGAAAAAAGGACACAGTAAGAGAAGTTTATCTTGGGAACATGAGAACCTCAGGTCTACTTTAACCAAGAGCTTGACTCCTAGCATATGAGCTTTGTACTATTTCAACATGTAGCATGAATCTCCATGTAAACTCTTTTTAAAAAAATCAAGAACGTATCTACTATAATGACCAGGTGCAAGTGTAAGTGCATCCATTGCAACTCTATCTACGTTCAAGATTAAAATACACTCGAGATTTCTCAGAATAGGTCAGATACAAAACTATCTGACCAACCGCTGAAGACAGAGCAAGCAAATGTAGGAACAGCAACAGTTCTATTGGCGGTTACTTTCAGGCTTCCATCCTTTACACACTTTCTTCTTAATCTCTAAAAACAAATCTAGAAAGCAAGAAGAGTGCCTGAATGCTCCATTTCATTCAACTGTGTTTTTGTCTGCATGCCAAAGCCAACTCTACTCTTTTCATGAAAATACACATCCTGGTGATATAGATTTGCATATGTTAAAAAGTTAATTATTTCCCTTCCAAACATTTCCAAGAGAGCCCTATAAGGCTTTTATAGTCTAAGCTTTCAATTGTTAAAATGTGTTTAATGTAAAGTCTGCCTGTTTCCTGGTTCTATTCAGACTTAATTTGCTTAACCCAGCATGAAAATTGTGCCTGGGAACATTCAGAAGACTTTGATAACTGTTCACACAATACAGTTAGGGTCAGGCAAGAAATCCTGACTATCAGAACACATTTGCTTGTTATGAATCAGTGTAATATGTATATGATGACTGTGAAAATTCTTGGCAACAATTCCTGCAAATGTGGAAATGTGGGAGTTGCAAAATAACACTGTCTTCACAGTTTCTGATTTACATGTTAACTTGTCCACATCGGCACATACAAAGAGATAGGTGAAAAGATGGTAAAAACAAATGAAAATTGGGTATATTGGTTCATTTTTGAAAAATGAATTGGAGAAATATTCAGGACTTCATCACACTAGAGAATGAATCCACTTTAATTCTGGTTTCTGTCTCCTACAGAATTCTGGGGTTTGTAGTTTAGTGAGGCTGTTAAAGACTCCTCCCTAAACTACAAACCCCACAATTTTGTAGAAGGCAGAAACCAGATTTAAAGTGGATTCATTCTCTAGTGTGATGAAGTATTCAGAGACTATTTATTTTGGTCTCTTACTGGAAATAAGCATAACCACTTCTTTGCTTCTCCAAGGGTTAGCACTTGTTACTAGAGGTAATCAACCCATTTTTTTAAAAAAATGGTAATATTCTTTAGGCAAGAGGAATTACAACAATGTGATTTATTCTTAAATATATACCTTGAAGATGCTGTATTTCATATCACTAATTTCCACAGTCTTACTGCCTTGGATGTCGTGTTCTGATTTATTCGTCAACAGTGCTTTAAATCTGTGAAAAGAGGTAGCAGATTTTTACATTGAGCTTTTAGAATGATATTTGCTTAGAATACTTTATTTCAATCAGTAATATTAGCAGGTGCCTCGTCCCTGGATTTTTAACAGCAGCTGCTTTCATAAAAGCTTTGTGCCTCTAAAAGCAGAATGAAAAGCAGAAATCCATCAGGTGCAGCTAGCCTTACTATAAGACACGGTGAAGGAAAAAGCCCTACCTGCCTTATTCTGGTTGTTACAGAATTGAGAAAGTCTGTTTCTGCTAGTGTAACATTTGCAAGAAATTACAAAAGGTCTGGTTCAAGTTTCCTTGAAGCTCAGGTTTACTAATTGGAAACAGGCACTAAAACTGCACATGCTCTATCTCTTTCTACCCCCCATAACTTGACATTAGATTACATATAACTTTTCCAAACTTGGTTAAAATGATTCCTGAACTGATTTTGAAAGCCAAGGTTAAAACCTGGTTAATATTGCATGCAGTCCCACCTTCCTAATGCTAATCTGAAACCAGACTTTATTGGTAAAACTGAACTATGATAGAGAGGGAACTAATTGTGATGGGATGGGGAAAGGAAGAAATGTACTCTCAACTCCAATATGAAGTTTCAAATTGCACATGCACATTTATCCTGTTAGTGGCCATCTATTCCCCTGAGTAGGAATTAAAAACAATTCAGCAACAAATCTGAAACTTGAGAAAAATAAATCTCTCTAATAGCAAAAATAATGTTACTACACAACCACAAATCCTCTCCAGTCTTAATTAGGAATTTCTGACACAATAGGAGCTAATGGCTTTGCCATGGGTTGCAAGTGAAACAGCAATGCTGGTCTTGGAAGTACTCCTACTTGGGTAGATCAAACATGGAGTTGTCAGAACAGGTTTATCTAACATTTGTGGGTGAAATGTTAGATAATCCTGTTCTACATGATATTTAAGAGAGTGGAGCTTGGGGATGTTGTTAAGCATGATATCTTAGAATCAACCAGAGCTGCACAGAGTATGCTTTTCTGATAGCTATCTATCTATCTATCTATCTATCTATCTATCTATCTATCTATCTATCTATCTATCATTTCATGACAGTGGTCCCACTTTTCCTGTAGACAGAAGAAGAGAGTCCAGCCCTGAGATATTACAATACTGGGGTCTGTTTACACCTGAAAAAAATTCTTTAATTGCACCATATTTTCCTGACTCCACATTTGCCTCTTTAGTTCCACATGAAGAGCACAGATTATGGGTAGTTCATTTTAAGCAGCCATATATATCTCCTGGGAAAATGGCTCAGTGTGAGATTACTGAAAACTCCTCTCACTTGCATTACTAGTGGCCACAAGGCAGTGACCACTACATTTTTTCTTCCTGTCATGCATGCGAATATGTGTATTTCCACCCAAGTTGTCTCTAACTACCCTGCTATATGACAGTGTACTAATACTGACATACTTGTAGTAGATCTGCATATAAATTCCTTCTTTAAAAATATATATTGACAGCAATCCAAAATTAAAAATTCAACCATGTGGATTTTCAGTCAGTATGCAGGGTCAAAGGTAAGTCATTTTAGAGTGGTTTAAGGGCCAAAGAACCGGTTGGGAGGCAAATTGTCATGAATGTCATATATCAGGCTAGCAGACAATACAAAGTGATTACTTTTTTAGTCGGTGTAGACAGGCCTCTATTCACCTTCAGGGTTCGTGACACCAAACAAGCACAAAACTGGACAATGGTTTGGAGGACTCATTGTACTAGGATTTTATCATTTCTGGTTTCAGTAACACAAACAGTTTCAGCTAAGCTCTGGGAAGAGATTGGCAAGAAGGACGCTAAGCTGAAATGTTTGAGATTGTCAAGATAGAGATGTTTAATGGGATTCAAAGAAATAAATACTTCATCTTATCAAGCACTAACATGGTAATTCTGTGAGTAAGTGAATGGCATACCTTTTCCTTAATCTTTGAGTGCCTTGCTGAAGGTCTTTGTGTTACTTGCTGAGTAATTATTAATTGTAGCCAGAGCAGACTCATCGAACCAATGGAATGTATATGGCTATTGACTTACGAAATTCCTATTGACTCAACATGCTAGCTGAGACGAGCAAAGTAAGTTAGACCTAAATTTCTCACCTGTTTGAAGCCGTAACTAGAAGAACTTTATGTGCATAAAACAACTTTCCTTCCACTAGAAAAGTAACATCAGACATTTCTTTGTTATTTAAAAAGTGAGGATCTGTATGGGAGAAAAACAGAAACAAAGAGGAGGTAATTTTAAGAATGTTATGCTACACCATAAATAAAGTCTTCAAATAGGGCCTGCAGCTGCTGGAAGCTTTATCACCTTACCTAGTCGAGCTGGGAGTGTCTTTCTGATTTCGGGAATGCTGGGGATGGGGCTGCTTCCATAACAGTGAGCAAAAATAACTGCGAGCTGCTGGTTGATAGAGTCATTCTACAAATAAGAATAAATGAAGATGATCAGAGCTGTGTTAATGCCAACCTCAGGCAGATCAAAGAGATTGTTATAAATTGCTGATGGAGACAAGCAGAGCCAATTTAATTCATTGCAGAGGACACAAGGCATCAGATACTATTTTCAAATCTTTCCCTTCCAAAACCTCTTTCTGATAAGAAATAAAGGTTATTCAGATGTCATTGACTTGGTAGATGCTTTTAATGATAAATTTGAGCATGAGGTATTTTTTCGATTCGTTGTACTGAAATTAAAAGTCATTACATGTCAGACAAAGCCCCTATGTACTTCAGTAAAATAATGGAGCAGCTGGGAATTTTGCAAATTGCTAATATATAACTAACCTTTGTAGTTCTGGATGGCTATGAATTACATCCTATCTTTATACTCTAAGATATGTGCATTTTGTGTATTTTCCCTGATCTCTTTAGTTTTAAGGTATGTGCATATGATGTTAATTTCCATTCAAATGAGGGTCTGTGGTAGGAAGGATATGGCTCTGACAGTATTTGCTTACAAACCATGTTGGTATCAAGCAGGCTCGGGCAAATACAGTCGTTATAATCCTTCCATTCAGAAATAATTTGGTTCACATTAAACATTTACACTGGTGCTAGCTGAGCAATGTAACCACTAGTAACACTGCCATTATTCCTTATCACAGTTTTGTCTTTACTGAGCCCAAAGATACTTATCAACCTATTAGTTTTAGCATGGATTACTTTGCTGGTTCTGAGGATTTCAAACATCAGCTGCAGCCCATCATGAACCAGCTCTTCATTGTACTCTTCTTCCTTGATGGTGACAAATTCCCGCAAGAGATTCTGAACCACTGAATACCGAGACTGATAAAATGTTGTCCGGAGTGACTCAATCCAGATGTGGAGCTTCCATGGGATTCCTAGGCCATTCAAAAACAAAGTGAAAATATAACTGTTACGAACATAAATTGATATACTACAGTCAAACATACAGAGGTAGGAATAAATAGCCATTTCTGTTCTGGATAAAACCAAATAATTTATTGGTATATTATAATCTCTGAAGTGCCAAGCCAGAGCCCCCCCCCCCCCCACATGATATAAAATAGTTGTCATCCCAAGCTTGCACCTGCCACCAAATACTGAAAGACAGTATTACTCCTAATGTGCAAGCAAGATTCTATAAATAGTAGAGTCTCGCTTATCCAACATAAACAGGCCAGCAGAACGTTGGATAAGCAAAAATGTGGGACAATAAGGAGGGATTAAGGAAAAGCCTATGGATGGCATCCTTGAAGTGACTGGACTGACCTTGAGGGAGCTGGGGGTGGTAACGGCCAACAGGGAGCTCTGGCGTGGGCTGGTCCATGAGGTCACGAAGAGTCGGAGACGACTGAACGAATGAACAACAACAACAAAGGAAAAGCCTATTAAATGTCAAATTACATTATGATTTGATAAATTAACCACCAAAACATAATGTTTTACAATAAATCAACAGAAAAAGCAGTTCAATACAAGGTAATGTTATGCAGTAATTACTGTATTTACGAATTTAGCACCAAAACATTGCAATGTATTGAAACAGCTGTGAGTCCAGGTGGGAGGCAGACTGCGTTGGATAATACAGAATGTTGGATGAACGAAAGGTTGAATAAGCAGGACTTTGCTGTATGATAAAGAATACAGAAGTCCATGCTAGCCATATTCAAATGGTTGCCACCCTTCAAACAAAGGTTTCCTACAATGAAAAAAAAATCCTATCCTTCAAACTACTGATAGCAACCTTTAAAGGAGTCTCTGAGACTCGTCTGCTCCTTGGGAGTTGATTACTACTGTAAATGCTTCTTTTTTTCTTTTAGTCAATAAGCAGCACTAACATAATATATCAGGACAGTTTGTTTATCTTACTAGCACAAGTAGAAGCTGGAAACCCTGTTTTTGAAAGACGGAAGACTGCAAAACTCTGTAGCCACTTGGGGAACTAAGATTAAAAATGCTGATACTCTTGCTCTTTTCTTAATGTTATTTTAAAATGATAATGACCATATACAAAGCAGGTCAGGATTCTCATAGCTTGAAGGGTTTAGAGGAGACTTTAACATATGTAATTTGATAAGAAGTGCAGTTCAGAACTCATCACCATCAGGGAGTTTTAATTTTAATGCAAAAGATGCCCCATAAGACTGCAGATTTTTTTAAAAAATAATAATACAAGAAACAGCCAAAATTGTGATCAAATTAGCACTTCGTACTCTAGTCTTTTCTTCCACTGCTCAAATATTCATTTTCCAAAAAGTGAAAGCACTGCGTGGCTGAGCAATACGGAACAGTCAGTCTTGATTTCATGAAGACACCATTAATGTCCAGGCTAGATTCTCCCTATTTATTTACTGCCAGAAAATGTATATGATTGCTGAAGTTCAGTTAATTGGTTTCAGTAATAATATATTACTAATTGCACATAGAGGTTGTAATAGCTTCAGTATTTATTCAGTACAATACAATCTGCTCTTTAGCTTTTCTAAATGACTTTTTCCATGTGTTGTTTCTAGAATAAATTACTGCTAAAACTAGAAATGTATAACATAAACAGTGTATATGCTGCATGAATCAAATGACAGGGAGACGTAAAATGGTTTCCAAATTTCCAGAATCTGTATATATTTATTTGTGTTACTTTTGGAACAAAGTACAAACAAATGTTAAAAATGAAGTCATGGAAAGATAACATTTTCCATTATTTTTCATTTCTGAAGTGCTACTCCAGAAGTAAAAAATATATTTTTCCAAGAAGAGTTATCTTTCTACATGAGTAACAATATGAACAAGAAAAATGTTTCAAATAGTTGCCTAATAAAGATTTCTGGCTTCAGATGACTGAACATGTCCAATCATATAGAGCAGGCATGTTCAAACTTTGGCCCTCCAGATGTTTTGAACTTCAACTTCTGCTTAAGTGGCTGAGGGGGAAAAGAAAAGGGCCTGAGGTTGTTAGGAATTGTGGGAGTTGAAGTTCAAAACACCTGTAGGGCCAAAGTTTGAAGTTTGAGGCCCAGTCATCGAGAGGGTGCCGTGTTGGACAAGATTGGTTTAGCATAGACCAGTGATTTACAAATGTTGGCCCTCTGGGCATTTTGGACTTCCACTCCTAGAAGCCCCAGCTGACTTGGCCAATAGTAAGGAATTCTGGGAGCTGAAGCTTAAAACATCTGGAGGATCAAGGTTTGGGAACCACTGGCAGAGATGAACATGCAGCATAAATATGTGCATGGGTACATATACGCACACCTAAAAACTGTAAACTTTCATTGGATACGGAATCATATAGTATAGAAATCATATCCATAAGATAGATGCCACCTTAGATGGTTTTAAAAAGGGATTTATACAAAGTTATGGGGGGGGGGGGAAGATTGTCAGCAAATATGAACCAAGATGATTACCATTTCATCAGTGTTCTTATGAATACCAGTTGCTGTAGGACAACAATATACAACAGGGATGGAGAACATGTGGCTACCAGATATTGTTGGCTGTGGCTATGTTACTTGCTACGCTCGGGTTGATGGAAGTTGCAAATGAACAACATCTGGAGAGTTACATCTTCCCTATCCCTGTCATATACAAGAACTATTCCTTTCACTTCCTGCTTTGGTTCACTGTGAAAAACACAGGAAATTAGACTAGAAGAACCTTTAGTATCACTTACCAAGTGCTCTGAGCTCCATGGTAATGTCAACATAGCCGTGCTCAGCGCTGTAATACATGGCCTGCTGTAAAGCCTTCATCCGGGTTTTACACAGTTTAACCTGGCCCTCATTGGAACTTCCTTGGCTGGAGGTGTCACTTTCCACACCTTCTGCTAGAATCTCTTCCAGTGACAGAACATCTGCCTTGGACTGCTGTGGTTGAGTTAGGAGCTTGCGGAGAACATTTCTGCACAAGGAAAGGAAATGGTAGTGTATATGATCAGTTCATATGTTCCAAAACAAGTGAGCCTTTTCCAGTAGTTTGGAAGAGTAAGATCCCCGTATTTGTTGTAACCTTTCTAAATTTAATTATTAGTAAACCAATTTATAAATTATAAATTTATAAATTAGCAATAATGTTATCAAGTTAGCTTTTACAGCAGTTTTCCCAAGCTCTGAAAAAAAAATACTTCTGACATTTTTTTCAGAGCTTGGAGACACTGCTATAAAACCTAACTTGATAACATTTTTGATAATTCATACATCATTAAAGCAAAACTTATTATCTAACTTATTGAAAATGTATGAGATTAATTAAAAGTACATTATGACACCTGTATTTAAGGATGATACATTCCAAGATCAACACCCCAATGGATACAGGAAACCATGAGTAATAGAAAAGTCTATATTTTGACTAAACATAACAACAACTACAACAAAAACAACAAAATTTATTTATATTCCACTCTTCTCCCCAAGGGGATTCAGAGCAGATTACAGCACATAAACAGACACAGGCAAACATTCAGTGCCTTGTTACAGTGAAATACAATGGAACACAAACAACACAGACATAGGCAAAGGCTTCTTCTTTCATTTCTGGCTCTGGAGGCAGTGCTTATCTCTGGCTCTGGGGGAGGTGCTTGTAAAGATCCCTTACCTTGCCAGTCAGGGTGGCAGGGCCAGGAAGAGTCAGGCTAGGTAGTTTCAGCATAGGAGGCCTGGCAGAGAGAGCTGCTGGAGCCATCTTAGTTTAGGGAAAAGCTCCAGTTCAGAAGGGGGAGTGGCCGAGGCCTGTGCCAGCCCAGCAACAGTCAGGATTGGTTTAGGAAATAGGGGCGGAGTTAGCCAGATGAAGGGAAAGAGAACAGTGAGTTTTGACAGGGCAGAGTTAGTTCAGCTGAGTTCTGAGTAGAGTAGAGAGCAGTTTCAGTTCTGAGAGAGATTAGAGTAGGAGTTGGAGTGTTTAGGAGTCTCTGTGAAGAAAAGGCAGCTTGCCTGTAGTTTGCACAGCACAGTAGGCTGTGGCAGACTGAGTTACAGCTATTTTGAGAAAGGAAATAGCTGGGCTTTATGTTTAAGTAAACTGTAACAAAGGAAAGAACATTCTCTCAAGTAACCATCACGCTTTGAAGAAATAAGAACACTTTTATTGTAACCACCAAGCCTCTGAACCTGCATTCACTTGTAAATCTATAACTTGTAATCAATAAACTCTTTCTTGTTGTTTTTAAAAGTCAAGCCTGAGTCAAGTGCCATTTTTGGTTTTGAATCCTTTTCCTTATTGAGTCAACCTCTCCTGTTTTCCCCTCAGAGAAAGCCCTTGTTAATACACAGTCATTGGTGGAGCAAAAAGCCTTCTAATAATTTAATCAGCATTTTATCATTTTAAATAGCTAGAGGGTTCGTGATTTCTTTAGTTTTGGTGGCAGCGAAGGTTTTACACAACGTGACATCCCCTCAAGCACTATTAGAACCAAAGTGGGGTGATTTCCTTATTGAAGGAGGGACAGTGGTTGGGATTTCTTTGATTGTTCCCCTGATAAGCCTCTCTAAAGTTATTATAATTGGTTTGCAGCGGTGGGATTCGTGTAACATCTCAATCCAGGGCATTTTTGTGTAAATCCTGAGGTAAAATTTTGTCAAAAAGTGACACCAAGAATTACCTCAGAGAGGAGAACACCTCTAGCGCCATTTTACAACACATTAGGCACCATGGCACCACCAAAGACAAAAAAGGGCACTCCTGAAGACCCAGAGAGAGAAGGGGAAACTACTGCTTCTATAGTTGAGGGAACTGAGACCCAAATACCAGAGGGTAGACAAGAACAGATAGCTACCTCTTTGGCTATTGAAAAGCTTAGGCTAGAAATGAGGTTGAAAGAACTTGAGTTTCAGGCTGAAAGAGAAAGAGAAAAGATACAAGAAAGGGAAAAGGAAAGAATGATTGAATTGGAAAGGGAAAGAATGCAAGCTGAAGAGAGGCAGAGAGAAAGAATGGCTGAGGTAGAAAGAGAAAGAGAACGGGAGATAGAAATGGAACGTTTAAAACATGAGGAGAGAATGGCAGAACTACAATTAAGAGAACATGAGAGAACTCCTAACTTAGGCCAACAGCAAGACTCTAACATGCAAAGGGTGTTAAAGAACTTTCCCCGATATGTAAAAGGGGATTGCGTTGAGTCATTTCTCGCTGCATATGAACGGGCTGCTCATGATTTTCAGGTACCTGAAGATAAAATGATGGTGTACCTGAGGCCCCTGCTTTGTGGGGAACTTAATGAGGTTTATGCTGATCTGCGAGAGACAGAGAGCGGGAATTACCTCATATTTAAAGAAAGGGTGAAGCTGAGGTTTGGCTTGACTCCTGAACAAAGTAGAAAGATGTTCAGGGAGATCAAAAGGAAGCCAGGAGAAACCTTTTCACAATTGGGAAGCCGAATGGAAAAAGCCTTAGAGAGATGGCTGGAAGGGAGTAAAACGACCACTTTTGAGGAGTTAAAACATTTAGTTTGTATGGAGCAGTTTTATCGACTGATTCCCATACAAATGAGGTGGTTCGTTAAGGACAAGAAGATTAAACAAGTGTCAGATCTCGCGGCTTGGTTGGATGAGATGGAGCATGACTGGAATGTGAGTCATGGCTCAGGAGCCACCAAGAGACCGAGGGAATGGGTTCCAAAAGAGAAAACTGACATAGGAAACCAAAATCCTGTCAGGAGGGACCGCATTCCAGAGATTGCCACAGGAAAACTTGTCTGTTACTTCTGCCATCAAGAGGGTCATAAGAAAACGGCTTGTCCTAAATTAAACACCCAGAAAAGGCCAGTTACACCACCAAAGCCAGTTAAGGTGGTTAGGCAAATATCTCCACATGAAGAAAGTCAGTCTCCACATGCACAGGAAGAGCCTGTGAAGATAATG